CATTAGATCCTAAAAATACACAGTAAAAATGATTTTTAACACTTTTTTACTCATTAAGTCATATATGCCATTAAATTTTTTTTAATGTTTTTTTATTTCTGAGAGAGAGAGAGACAGTGTGAGCAGGGGAGGGTCAGAGAGAGAGGGAGACACAGAATCTGAAGCAGGCTCTAGGCTCTGAGCTAGCTGTCAGCACAGAGCCTGACGCGGGGCTCAAACCCACGAACCATGAGATCATGACCTGAGCTGAAGTAGGATGCTTAACCGACTGAGCCACCCAGGCGCCCCCATATATGCCGTTAATAACTGCAAATTTTAACTTAGCTTTCAAATATACTGTGGCTTTGTTCTACTATCATTAGAATAGGAGTCACAATCCTAATACTTTCTGGCTGATCTAAATATACTTTCCAAACATAAATTGTTTGTGGAATATATTAATCATTAAACTAGTATTTAATCGTTTCAGCGTTTTCCCAAGAAGTTCTTTTATTAAAAATCTATAAAAATATCATGTGTTCATTTCAGAAATTCAGCTGAGAAGTATATAAAACAGAATGTGAACACCAGTCTTTATTACCACTAGTATTTTCCTGTTTTCTGTCCATCCCCAGTATTCTTGCTCTCAAGAGATAATCATCTTTAGTATTTTTCTTTGAGACACTCTTGCAATAATTCTATAACTCTTGATTTTCACAGTTCATTTACAGTAGTATTTATTTCTTTTGGAAACTCCTGTATCGGGTTGAGGGTGACTTTACTTTATTCATCATTATTGACTTGTCAGTGCGGTCTTCAGTGGGGAGTGCATATAAGGATAAATCAGACTTTTTCCTCAGGTGGCTATCAACATAGTCAGGGATAGATGTATACAGTGATAACTATAATACAAGATAAAAAAATGTAAGAGAGGGACAGATGGAGTGCTGTGGGATTCATGGACTGATATTTACCTTTGACTTACCTTTGACTTACCTTTGACTGGCCAAGAGCTGATACTTGAACTATATCCTGAAAGACAAGATTTGGGCTAGGGGGAGGCAAAAAGCAAATATACTGGCAGGAGAAAGGTACAGAGGTACTAGGAGTTCACACAGTTATTCCATTTTCCTCGACTGTAGAATGCATCTATGATAGTAGCAGCAGATAAAGAAGGTAAGGTAGTTTGGGGGAGAACTCAGAACACCTCTATAATCCTTAAAAATTTTTAACAGAATAGTGCCATGACTAGAGATGTACACTAGGAATATTAAGCAGACATTATAGGGTGTGTAGAGTCAGTTACTGGCTTTGCAGTAATTTGGAAAAAGAGTTGCCATAATGAGGCATAGTGGCCCTAGAGCTGCTGCTGAAGTAGGACCTGTAGGTCTGAACCACTCCGTCAAGTCTGAGAAGGCCTTGGTTGCAAGGCGCACCTTTATTTTGGGTACTGTGAGGGGGAACAGAAAAAACCACTGCCAGTTATTCTTAGACATCACCAATTATTACATATATCCTGATTTTAGAAATTATAATAATAAATCTACATCATAAAGTCAGTGAAATAGAGTAATTGCATAAGTACAGGGAAAAGATTGGGCACGCAGGAAAGAGCTGAGCAAATGAAAGAAAGGAGGATGAGATCTAAGTGGAAAAGCAGACCTTGAAGAGAAGAATGGATCTTCCTCTACCATGAGATAAAGAAATGAACAAGCAGTGACTCAGAGAAGTTTAGAAGTTAAGAAGCTTAAAACATTAAGCAAACCTACATTAAATAACCTCCATCTTGGTAAAAGAGGAGGCAGGGTCATCTCTAAGAAGAATGACAGTGGTGGGTTTGAACAGGCTTGGGACTTAAGAGTGAAAACGTTTCAGGTAAGTGGGGCCTGAAAGATGGAATATTAAAAACAGAAAGGACTGAAAGAGTTCCCATCAGAAATGAGGGGCCCAGTTACGGTTGAAAAGCACAGATTTATAAAGAAACCAATTGGCCCTATTTTATGACTTTGTCCAGGCACACTTGGTACCGTGAGAGAAGGATGGACAAAAACTTGTGGAAGGTGCTTTCTGCAGGGTAGGAGATTGGCTGGACAGGTATGGTGGAAGGACAGAGAAGCTAAATAAGTTTCTCCTAAGGGGTATTGTTGATTTGGCTCACCATGAAGTTCAGGCTAAGAAATAAATAAAAGGTGAGGCCAGAAGAAGAATAGATTAACAGATTTTTTTTAAGTTGTGGGTCAGTGTTTTAAGGGAATTCAAGGGGCACCTGGGTGGCTCAGTCAACTGAGCGTCTGACTCTTGTTTCATCCGGGTCATGATCCCATTGCCCCACCCCCACCCCTGTATCAGGCTCCTCGATAGGCATGGAGCCTACCTGGGATTCTCTCTCTTTCTTTCTCTTTCTCCCTCTCTGCCCCTCTCCTCCACTCATGTACACACACTCTCTCTCTCAAAATAAATAGATAAATAAAAACTTTATTTTAAAAAGGATTTGAGGGGCACTTGGGTGGCTTAGTTGGTTAAGCATCCGATTTCAACTCTGGTCATGATCTCATAGTCTGTGATTCTGAGCCTGGCATCAGGTCTGGCATGCTGACAGTTCAGAGGCTGGAACCTGCTTCAGATCCTTTTTCTCCCTCTCTCTCTGTCCCTCTTTTGCTTGTACTCTGTCTCTCTCTCTCTAAAAACAAACATTTAAAAAAAGGATTTGAGAGTATAAAGAAGGTGAAGGAAAAATTATTTTGAAGAGGAGGAGAAGGTAAGTAGAAAGTTGATTGGGGAATTTCAGAATTAAGATGATGGTTGAATTCAGAAGGTTGAGTCTGGAATATATGTAATCTTTCTAAAACACAGATGGAGTATGTCTCTATGTGGCTTGAAAACCTCTATTTCAAGATGACATCTTTACTACTGATAAGAATAGACAAAGCTCATCACAAGCTGACCCCATCCTACTTTTCTAAGCTAAGGTCTCATTTCTTCCCGTGAACCCCACAGTCCAACCACACTGAATTCTTCTCTGTGGTCACAATCCTCAACTTTTATCTACCTTTTGCTTTTACACATACTATTCCCCTTGCATTAAATGCTCTTCTTCCTTTTCTTTGCCTTGCAAACGCCTGCCCATCTTCAAGACCTAACTCAAGACCGCACTTCCTCTGCCACTTCCTTCTGGATGCCCACACACCACAGTGAGCACACTTCCATCTGTGCACCAGCATTACTCCCTTCAGACATCCTATGGAATTTGGCCACAAGTATATTGATTTTTATGTCTCTATCCAGTAGACTGTAAACTCCTTGAAGTCAGAAACTATCTAATTCTCTTTACCCACAGTGCAAGCATACAGTGTTAGATACTTAATATCTGCTTTTGTTGTCTTTGTTGAATTTTAAATAAAGAAGCTAATCCAGTGCTTCTCCAACATTAATTAGCATTCACATCACCTGGAGATCTTGTTAAAATTCAGATTCTGATTCAGTCTAAAGTGGGGTCTGGGATCCTACCTTTCTAACAAGCTCCCAGTTGATGCCAGTGCTGCTGGCTCCTGAAAGTAATTCAGTGTTTTAGCACAGGTGGAGTAAAGGTAAAGGTCCAGTGAGAGTGTGGGAGTGGGGCAGTTATGGTGACAGTCACTCAGTATGAACACTAGAAAATCATGTAGGAAGAGATGCTTAAATCATAGAATCAAGCAGACTGCTGTGGAAGATGGTTGACAGGACTGGTATGATCTAGTTCTATGACTTAATGTTTTTGAAAAGGAAAGGCTTTCCAGTCATGGCAGCTGTGTCGGGACTGCAGCAAAGGATGTGTTTGCTCCATGGAGATGGTGGGGGTGGGAGGTGGGGTCAGAAGTCAGGTTTGGGGCCTCACAAGAAGGGTCTGCGGCCTCCCGTGTTTATTCCTGGTGAATGGCACATCCACTGGAGGGTGACAGAATGGAAAAGCTGCATTCAGGGAAGGGAGGCCCCTGAAGAGGGGAGGTTTAGAACCTTGACAAGGGATCATTTCCTGATCATAAATTTACGGATTCAAAGTATGAAGATCTTTCTTAAAATCATAGATGACAATAAAAGTAGCATTAATAAGCATTCTCTTCCCACATAGAGTCTCACAGGTCTGATAATCCTAAAGAGAAGTTCAGTAAACCTAATTTCTTTTAAGTACTGTTGTACAGAAGTAATATGTGCTTTTGTAACATGAAAAAAGACAAAAATATTTAAACCTCCTCCACTAATCCCCTTCCCTGACAATGAAGTAATTGATTTTTACACCTTGATGTTTACTCTTCCAAGTGTTTATCCGTGCAAATTTATGTACACATAGACTGGATTTTTTCAAATTCCATAATGGCATTTTCCACGCATACTATTCTGCAGATTGTTATTCTCACTTAAGAATGTTGTAAACATCCCTCCAGGTCAGTGGATACAGCTTCTAACTTATTTTTTCCTAGTCATTTTTAAATAGCTGTGTATAAATATAGATGTCCTGTAATTTGTTCTGCCATTCTCCCATTGATGCACAATTTGGTACTTTTAAATTTTTACTGCTGCAACCAATACGACACACACAAAAAAAGTCTTACTGTTACTAGCACCTCCATAACAGAACTCTGTGATTTCAGCCAACCGTATGTATACAAGTAACTTTTATATCAAGAACATCTTTAAGTGAAGCAAAGCAGTAGCTAGCCTGCACTAATATAGTAGCCACTAGTCACATTTAGCTATTTAAATTTAAATTTGCTAAAATTAAATCAGATTAAAAATTCTCTTCCTCAGTCACATCAGCCTCCCCCTTTCAGCTGCTAAGTGGCCACATGTGAGTTGTGGCTACCCTACTGGATAGTAAAGAACAGACCATTTCCATCCTCACAGAAAACTCCATTGGACAGCCTGGACTAGACGCTGTAATGCCACATCATAAAGAAGAACGTAATTTTTCAGTGGGTTAGCGTTTTAATGAGAGTACATTTTTTAAAGTACAAACTCTGTGTCTTAATTGGTTGCCCCTGCAGTTACTTCAATGAGAATCAATACCCAGATGAAGCAAAGAGAGAAGAAATTGCAAATGCTTGCAATGCGGTTATACAGAAGCCAGGTAAGGCGGCAAGCTGCCACTTAACTCGATGGTGGAGCTCTCGGCTTCAGGTTATCATTTGGGACAAGAATCTTCTTTTTACTCATTGCAGCCGGATGCCCTAGACTCCATCCTCACCATCCTCCTGTGCAGTCACTGCCCTGTTCGAGTGGTACTTCTCTGGGGTGTAATTATGGTGGTCCAGATCAGGTGTTCACATGGAAGGCTGCAAAACACTGTCCCTGCTTAAGATAGGAGGCCTTGAAATTATAAAGACTCTATAGATGTCTTCAAAAATAGAGCATACTGTATAAATTCCAAAATAATTTTAAAGTTTGGAATATTTAAGCAAGGCTTGTAAATAAATGAAAAGATTTTTCTTTACAAGTGTTATATAATTCTGTATTCCTGTTTGAAGAAACAGTTCTTATTGGAGTTGGCTTCTTTCTCTTTCCTGCGTTGGAATGAGTTCTACATAACTAGGGAAAAGAGGATAGTTCCATTCTAAAGTCCTATTGTTCCCATGCAAGTCAACGGAGCCGCTTAAAGACACCTAATGACTTTTCTACCATGTGTTAAAATGTTATTCCACGTTTTATGGTTTTTGTTACCAGAAACCATTTTCAGTTAGATGATCAATTGATCTTCATTTGGCCAGTTAATTTGATTGGCCTAAAGGCTGTAAATATAAAAGTGTCAATGTTTTATCATAATTAAACTGTAATTTATTCTCCTTTACCTGGAAGCCTGACTTCTAGCAATCTAGACCCTATAGACACATCTCCAGTGACACCTATACCCTTACCTCACACCAGCCACAATCCCACCACAGAAGCTGTGCAGGAACTCAAAACCTTCCTGGAAAACACTTCACCCTGTGTCATCAGCGCCTTAACCTGTTTTCTGGCTTCTGCACCCATCGTGGATTAAAAGCTAAAATAGATAAGAACAGGGGAGGAGGAAAAAGTGCAGGTGGACCCTTGTTGGCAAGCTTGGTGTTAATCCTTACAGTGTAAGAAGTCATATTTGACGGCATAGAAGATAATAAATTTAAAATGCAACCTGAATTGTGCTGTGTGTTCTAGCATAGTTACAAAATGGATGGTCAGAGTCAAGAAAACATGGACAGTAATTATTCTTCTGCCTTAAGACAGCAGGAAACTAGTTTATATAAGGCCGTAAAGATTTAAGTAAACTTCAGCTCCCTGGAAACTTGATGAAGAGTAACACACTCATCTAGAATAATGCTAGTTGAAGGAAGCTTCCATGTACTATCATTTGAACTTTGAGCTCTAGAGCTTGACTTTGTGGAATTCATTAATTTTGTATTTAGTATTGGAATTCTTTAGTATTGTGTGGCTTTCTCAAATATTTTGTTATTGCTATTTCTGTATTTATTTAGTGTTTATTCATACACTACTAATTTAAGTACATACATAGCACTAAAAAAAAATCCCTTGTATCTGTTGTTCTGGCAATAAATGCAATCAAAAGAACTTTTCAAAAGGAAAAGCATTATTCCTTAAAACTAGTCTCAGATACAGACTATCAGAATTTTATTGCATGTATTCACAGGCAAAAAACTGTCAGATCTGGAACGAGTTACCTCCCTGAAAGTATATAATTGGTTTGCTAACAGACGGAAGGAGATCAAGAGGAGAGCCAATATTGGTAATGTATCAGAGAGGCTGCTTTCTCTTTTGAAGCAGTCCTAGACATCGGGTTTTTGTTTTTGGGTTTTGGGTTTTTTTTTAAGTACCTTCAGTTTAGAACTGCAGGTCTTAATAATCCTAACTTTTAAGCCTAACAAGAATTGTCCTTATGTTTTTCTTTGTGTTTTTTTAAGAGTTAGTATTATTTGCACTATTTGTATTATACTAATAATGACATCGTTCTTAATGTTCTAGAATCAAGAATTAGACATGGCCCCTGACCAATTACTCCTGTGCCACATAGTAAAGATACTTGTTAAGATCTTGAGAGAGAGAGTGAGACCCTGAGCTGCTTTGTTGTTGGTGGGCTGTGATGTGATAGGATTAATAGAACTGGAATGAAAAAGTCTTATAGGGAACATAGCAAAACACAGATTTTTTTTTTAAATTTTTTTACAAATAGTTTATTGTCAAATTAGTTTCCACATAACACTCAGTGCTCATCCCCACAAGTGCCCTCCTCCATGCCCATCCCCCCTCCCCCCCACATCCATCAGTCCTCAGTTTTTGTCAGCATTCAAGAGTCTCTCATGGTTTGCCTCTCTCCCTTTCCCCCACCATTTCCCCCCTTCTTCTCCCCCTTGTTCCTCCGTCAAGTTCCTCCTAATCCTCCTATACGACAAAACACAGATTTTTTAAGAACATTTCAGAAATGTGAATTAATGAGATTGGGGTGGGGCATTGGTTTTGCACTTCAAAAATTATTTCAATTCTAAACTTACTCCTTCCCTGTAAGTACAATTCTCAAACACTTTACAGAACCCCAGGACAGGAGGGCTGTTTAATTAGTTGGTAAGTATTTATGAAGCACCTAACAGTCATCTGGTCAGATGTGGTATGTGTAGTGGCAGGGGCTCCAGAACAGCCACTGTGTTCCTCCCCTGGCCTGTGTGCAGTGGAATTCTATATGTCTGCAATTTAAAAGAACCAAAATGTAGAGGAATCTAGGTTCTTGTTTAATCACATTCTGATTTTCTCAGCACAAAGATTAATTCAGTGTTTTGGCTATTACACTAATGTAACAGATAATTTAGGGATCTATTTGCTTTTTTCGAAGAAGCAGCAATCCTGGAGAGTCATGGGATAGATGTACAGAGTCCAGGAGGCCATTCCAATAGTGATGATGTTGATGGAAATGACTACTCAGAACAGGTGAGCAGCTGAGCAGAGGTTCTTGGTTCTTGGATAGTATGACAACTCAATTCTGTGGGTGTGTTTTGTACGGGGTGGGGGAGAGGAGACAATCTAATGTCCCTCCACTCTGCTCATGTGTGTAATTAGATTTTCATGTAATTTGAAAGGAATGTGGTATAAGATTCAGTTGTCCTGTAAAATTTCTGAGAACCTGTTATTCACCCACATGGATTTATTGTCATACAACAGGATACTTGGCAAGTACGCAATGGGGAGGAGGAGGAGGGAAGAAGTTCAGAGGGAGGCAGAGAAGCAGAGAAGGTAGAAGAAGAGAGGAGGATCTGATCCAAACAAGCAAGTTACACCATCCACCACACACACACTCAATGTTTGAGAATACTAAGGGCTACTGGGTAGCTGTAATCCATGCCTAAACCTGTACCAATGCAGCACACAGTGGAAGGTCCCGCCCACCACGGCCCCATTGCAGTGAGAACCCTCATGCCCGGATGAGTGGTTCTTCCCGAGTCTCTGGCACATTGACACACACATCCTCTCATAAATGCATGTCTTCTCACCTCACCCTGACTTAGTCTTCATTGCTTGGGGGAAAAATATATATTTAATTGTAGCCACTGGATGGAATAATTCAGTAACTAAGAATGTGGGAATTTTCCCCCCACATATCTGTTGACAAGATTTCATTAAAATTTTTGTAGGATTTAAAATTAATTTCTGTTTGGAATATGAAAAGAATGTATGCTGTCTTCTGGACCCCAGGAGAAAACTTTTGCTCTTTTCTCTAGTGTATATATACCTCTTCCTCGCCCCCTCAGCCAGTTCTGATATAATAGTCCACTTACATTCTTCCTTCTGCCAACCATTTTGCAGCCTCTGTTTACCAGCTTGAGCGCAGACACTGCAGGAATGCACAAACTCCACATGAGCCCCTTTTAAACTCTGCAGACCACTTTGTGGAAATGAGAATGAAACAGTGAGGCCCATAATTCACAGGGGTTAACTTTTTTCTTTTTAGGATTCCAAATCATAGCTCCATATTTTACTCAAGAAAATACTCTGACTTTCTAATTGGAAACATTCCTGTTATTTTTCAATCTACCAATGTACGTGGGTCACTTCCACTTTTTTTTCCCAGATGCCCTAAGGGCAGCCACATACCATGATTTTTTCCTGCCCCCCACCAAGGAGCTTACCCTTTCCAAAGCTTTTTGATGCAGAGTTCCCCTAAAGACATGACAGGTGAGAAACTTACCCTTATTGGTAACACCATCTTCAGTGCCTGACAAACATCCCGCGGTGCCAGTTTCCTTCACAGCTTTGTTGTTTAACACACTGAGCTGTGCATGGACAGAGAGCTTCCCGCTCACCCTAAAGACACCTGCCTCTTCCCTGGTACAGCTGTCTTCCAGCAGGAGAGCACCACACGCTTTTGCCTATAGCCATTTCCGGCAGTTATACTTCCGTCCTGTTGTAATCGAGAGTTTATTGGGTCTCCTGTTCTTTTATAAAAATACATTTTTATCCATAAGATGTTGGTGTCTGTGGTTTAGTCTGGTTTTCTCAGCTCAGTAGAAAGATACCATGAGCTCTGATAATCTGTATGAGTACTAGCTCAAATGATCAAGTTTGATTATCCTCACCAGCGATCTTCCTAATAGAAGGAAAAAATCCTCAGCAAGAAAAAACATTTTGGTGCTTTTTATTTGTTGAATCATGGAAATGTCAACTGGAAGTCTGGACCTATTTCCATTCAGTGTCTACTTAAATACATTTCACTTCTACTGTCACGAGCCCCTCCCCCACTGTGTCCTCCCACGAATGTTCTGCCTCCCCTTGCCCTCAGCATGCCTTTCTGTGAGTTGGAGAATTTTAACCAATCCACTAATAACACTTGTTTCTTATTTCTGCATGTCTAGGATGACAGCACTAGCCATAGTGACCACCAAGACCCCATCTCATTAGCCGTGGAAATGGCAGCAGTCAACCACACTATCTTGGCCTTGGCCCGGCAAGGAGCCAACGAAATCAAGACAGAGGCCCTGGATGACGACTGATCAGGGAGGGTTGAACATGAGAAGTTAACTTAGTTTAGACGTAGCACCTTAGCAGACTTTCCTCGGTCCTTAACATGTGTTCTTACAGTATAACTTGCAGTTTCTTGTATGTCAGTTAGCCGTTAGGGTCTTGTTCTGTGAAGATGGCATGGTGCCCTCAGCCTTTGCATATACTCTCTCAGTATTAATTCCCAGTAAACTTCCCTTTCCCAGCCCCTGAGGCTAGAATATCTTGCTGCTCTGTCTTAGCATTCCAAGAAAGTGCTTCCAGGTATCTAGATAGCCCTCAGTTCTCAAATACTAGGCTACGTGTAAAACCTTGGGTACCTTTAGATTCTTGTAACACTAGTCTGTACCCTTTTCCTTCCCCAAGACTGATAGGATGCAAGCTGAGGTAGTGTGGCCCAGGATTGACAGACACCATTAGGGAGTATCTGCAGAGTAAAAGGAACACTAGAATTCCCACTCAGCGTGGGAATCATTGATTTCCAGCTACAATAAGCCGTGCCTCATAATAGTCACACCGTGGCTACATTATACTTCTTTGGGTGCTGTGGAAAAATGTGGAGTGTCCATGGAAACACTTGATCTTAGATTTTGGTTGATGTTAACATGCCTGACACAGATATCCTTTCCTCTCACAAGCTGTGTGACTTAGTAGATAAAATACTGCCTTCTGCCTTTGGGACCATGATTCAAACACACAAAAAACAAAAGTCATATAAAAAAAAAAAAAAAAACCCAGAAACCCAGCTTGAGAGCATTGGAAAAAACAAAACAAAACAAAACAAAACAAAACATGAGCTGAATGTCTAATGGATGTTAAGTCCAGTTCTCAGAACCACTGTACATTACGTGGCACAGGTGTGTGCCTGCCTGGAAAAGTGCTGGAGGTCATCATGGACGCCGCTTTGCCTCCTGTTTGTGTCCCTTTTCCCTGCTACCAAAAAAAAAAGTCTTTCAAGGATGGAGCTAAGGTCACAAATGAGTGAATGAACTTCCAGTCTTTGTATCCATTAATTGAAGTCCCTTCAATATGAGAGGTTGATAGAGGACTTTATAGTGGGATTATGCTGACTGACTATCACAATTGCAAATACTTTCCTAAATAGGAGCAGAAAAAAGCAGGGGACAATTGCCACTTACGTGGTGTGTCTTCGAGATACAACGTGATGTGACTGCTTTGGTGTTCTCTTTACTCTGTCCTTGTAGAGGTGTGAAAAGCTATATTGCTACAGGCAATTTATTTAATAATTGGAAGCCATATTGATAATGGATGTGGTAATATTTGTAAAGTTTAATCTACTTTAAGCGGCAGTAACTAATGGAATTTTTTTCCTTGATCACATATGTAGCACTTTTGTTACTTTTTAAAGATATTTATATTTGATAAATCTTTTTTTCGTTTTGAGAACTCAAAATACCAAACAGTGAACTTGCGTTATAAAGTCACCCTGTGATCACCTTGTCATCTAGTAGCAAAATGATGAACTATTCATGCATCAAAGAAAATTACATCTGCTGGCCTTGTATGAAAATGATCTCTTGGCATCCGATTAAATGACACACTGTCACTGTGGGGAAGAGGAAACAGCCTTCAATGTAGCGGTGTAGGGTAAGTCTGAGGGAGGCATTACTGCTGTGTATTTTCTGCCTCATTCCATCTCCTTTCTGTGCACAGTAGAGCCTTGTTTAAAGGGGGATTTGGGGCTGGGTGTTAACTGTCTTTTCGCCCATTACCTGAAAAATGATGTCTGAGATGGAAGGAAGGTGCCATTTCCTTACCTCTTCACCCCCACTCCCCCACCAGATGTATTCAACCTAAAACCATTGAGATGAGAGGGAGACTGACCTTCTTTGTTTTTCCTTTTCTCATTAGTGAGATAGTGAATACGCACCAGTTTTTAGCTGGTCTAACTCCATTTAAGGCATGTGCTGATGAGGTCTTCTCCCTGTCCATCCGGCATACGCCAGTGTGTGGAAGCCTTTAGAGGGCATGAAAATGCCACCTTATATGGGTCTGTGACTTTAAAGAGCTAACGGCAGGGACTGGGCCTGCTCTTGTCTGTGGATTTCAGGCAGAAAATGTATATACTTCTTTCAGCCTCCAAGAATTGGAGTAAAATGGGATAGTCTTTTCTGTTTTACTGTATTACTTGAACCAACAAATTCAAGAGTAGCATTCGTTATTCTCAGGAATGATCCCCCTGCTCATTTTCTTTCTTGGTGTGTTTGACTTTTTATTTCAATTAGGAGATTATGTTATCTTTATTTCCTTTTATATTACTTAGAAAAAACTAACATATTGTATCTTTCCATTCCGGTGAAATTTTGTCTGCTTATTCTCAGTTGAATCAGAAAGAAAAGAAGAGAGGAAAATATACTGTCTGACAAGCCACATCCATGATTTATTGTAAGGAGATTATTATAATTGATAGCTTCTTTATGACGAGATTGCTAGTATCATTTGTTCTTGCTGGTCTTTTTAAAGAAACAGACTGAAACTGTTAAGACAGCTGCAGTTTCTAAAGAAATACAGTGATTGCCAAGAGAAGAGCTAAAAGGTTTCATTGTTTTAAGGCCTTAAGGAAGGAAAAAAAGCTTCAGAGAATAAAGGAGGAGTCAGTATCCATGAAAGCAGTAGTGGGCCCTATCTGGCAACGTGGAAATAGAGCACATGTCTCCCAATGCAGGATAGCCTCATATCGGGTTCAGGAGGAAGGAATCTTTCATCCGGAATTCTTCTTTTAATTGAAGAAGACTGCTGGTCTGCCCTTAAGACCTGCTGCCTTACATATAACTTTTGCTTTTTCACCAAGAGCAAAAATGTAGTTCTTTGGGGCCTAGATTTAAATCTGCCATTGTTTTTTTGTTTTTGTTTTTGTACCCAGGTTCAATTCTGCTGTCTGTCCAGGCTACCTTAGTTCTCATAATGGCACACGGAGTCGCCACTGTCTAATTTGTAGTGTCTTTGGATAGTGAATTTTTTTTCTTAAGCTTTTTCAGGTTTGGTGGTATTTAAATAGAAACCCTAAACTGCTGTCTTACTGTAGGGAAAAGAGCCAGACTTAGAAAAAAAAAAATCCCATTCTATGATTTTGGGTTGATCTGCCTCTCTTCTCTTACTCCATACTGTACATACTTCAGGCCCCAGAGAACTGTTTCAGGACTGCTCTTCCCTAGTGAGGAAGACAAAATAAAAGGGTGGGGTGGGAACCTTGTCAGCAGTTCTTACAAAAACTTGTCTGTTATTTTTTTGAAAGACACTTCCATTGAATTACTATAGTCACATGAGTAAACTTCCTACTCTTCTTACAACACAGGCTTACAAAGAGACCTTTTAAAGATGGGCCATCCGAATGAGATTTCTGATTTGCTTTGATAACCCTAATGTGAGGTGAAGGCCAGGGAGAGCAATACAGTACACTCTTAGCTGAGACCTTCTTGTGCCAGTCAATACCAAATTGACACTTTGGTTTATTTCAGGTTTATTTCAGCAAAGCTTATATGTGTTGAGTACCCCTTAGGGCAACTTTCTTCAGAGTCTCAGCCCTTTAAGTGGTTGAAGAGTGTGGTTACCTTCCACCTACCTACGGAATCTGTACAGTTCCACACACTGTCCTTGGGTGGGCAGTCCCTCCCCACACATTCTCCTGTTCCTTCCCAGGAAGAAAGTTCCTGGAACAGGAAGACTCCTTTAAGGACCTTTCACTGTAGCTCAGTAGAGGTGACCACCTTAAAAGATAGGAGTGGGGAAGCAGCCACTCACCACCAGTGAAGTGTGTAAATCCAGTACTCCGGTTCCTGGTGGATTCATGATGGTGGTCAGTCCAGTGACCGACAGTACTGCTGTTGGGGCCAGATATCCACATATATTTTTACCTCAACGAGGACAGCTCATGAAGAGCTCACTCATACACTTGTTTCAGTTCTTTACAAACTTCTCTCCTGGATTCTAGCCAGGATTCTAGGCACCAAGTGTAAATAGATTATTTCATCAGGAATCTCCAGTCATGTCCCCTCCATCTGTGAACAGCTCCTCTTCCATTTGCCCCTGGGCTGCAATGCTAAGGCCTCATCTTGAGCTGACATCTTTGCTGGGATTTTTATCTTTCACAGAAGGCAGAGCATGTGGGTGTGGTCTGCCTCTTCACACAAACACTCCTTTCTGTCTTGCAGGCCATCTTTTTGACCAGCTACTTATTCCACTGACCAGCTACATTATCTCTGCCCATAACAGTGGAAATAATCCCTTTTTCATACACAGTCCTCCCATCCCTGTCCTAAAAATGTGAACTTCAAGTCCTTACTCTCTTGGTCCTAAGAAGGGTTTGGGTAGAAGCAGTCTTCCCATTTAACTTGTAGCTCTGCCTCTTAAAATTGCTTTTTGTCTTTTTTTGTTCAGAGAACAACCAGAGTATTTTTTCCCCAGTGAGTCTCAACAGATTCTTAGGCAATAATTTTTCTTGTTATTGATGATCTTGTGCTCAGTAGCACTCTACACTGAATAGTCCTGACCCTTCATGTTGTGCGTTGGTTTTCTGTGTTAATCTCTGTCCGTGATTTAAATCTTAGGTCAGAGTGGTGATAGATTTTGTCATTTTATTGTTGTGATTATTAGTAATGTTTTACTACTGTATTCACTGGGGCTGCATTGAGACCAGCCAAATCCATTTATAGCTTTACTGAGCCGGTTTTGTTTGTCAGGATTTCCCAAGTGAAAGTTGGGCTCACTGACCAGCTTCTGGCTGGCGGCGTCTTTCTGGGGCATAGGGGTGGGGTGGGGAGTGCACTGGGGCAGGGGTGGGAATTACACATTTAAAACATTCCTTTTAGTGTGCTCCCTAAATAGCAAGGATGTTTACTCAGGATTCGGGGAACAGTTGTCAGCCATGTTGAATTTGGCTAACTGAGCTGCCTGCCCGAAAACCTTCTTCCTGTTTCTTAATTTCCAGACTGTCTAATTTACATTACTTTAGTAAGCCCTAAGTTTTCCAGTTTGAAGGTATTGCACCATGATGAGAACCCTAGTTTTTCCCAGGGAGGCAACTATGAATGGCCAGGTTATCCTATAAGGATTTCCCTAGTGGTAGTGTCTTGTCAAATCAGAGGCTCTTTCTTTTTTAGTACCCTGGTCTCCAGTACATGCTCTTCTTTTCAAAAGATGACTGTCACCTAAGAGGAAAGATTTCT